ATACCTCCACTCTCCATACCTCCACTCTCTATACCTCCACTCTCTTTACCTCCACTCTCCATACCTCCACTCTCTATACCTCCACTCTCTATACCTCATTTCGGTCCAGCAAGTTGTGCTATCTGGCAGTGATACATCTCAGGAACCTGTCAGAGGAGCGGTGACTGAAACCCTTACGTCAGGCCCGGTGTGGGATTATCAACAGAAGAGCCCGTACTGGGAACACTGGCAGCCTGTAGGCCTCCCTGCTGCATCTAAACCTGTGTGCCACTGAGACAGATGTTTTTAAAGAAATCACATTTGATAAATTCATTTTGATGAACATAATCCCTTAATTGTTATTGACATTTAACCCTTTCTTTGATAATTGTACAAACAAATACTCATCAATAATTTGACAGATAAATGCTACATGTTTGCACCTGGAAAGTCTTACACACCCATGGTTTGTACACTGACTGGGTTAGGCTGCTCATGGTCTCACATTATTGTTTTTCTCTCCTCCCTTGTCCTGGGTCACACACTCTCTGGGCTCTTGGCTTTTTGCATGGCATATGCATGACTGGGTGAGTTGACTCAACACACACTCCCTACACAGTCTTGGCTTGATGACTTTTTCTGTGAGCCCCTCTTCCTGCCTCCTCCATGCTAAACATGTTCTCCCTGTCCATGTGTGTGTGTGTAATGTATGTTGGTCCTGTATTTGTCTTTGTGTGTTGCTCTGTTATTGTATGTTTAATTGTCTTCAACTGTTTTGGGCCCCCAACCTCTCACCCTCCCCTCCCTTTCTTCCCCTTTGTCCTGCCCCCTTTTGATTAAGATGTTTTAGGTGACCTCCTCAAACCCACAGTGGCGTCCTCACCCAACCAGGGCCTGACCCTGAACGGCCACAAACTTGTTTCCAACGACCTGGACTCGTCACTTGCAAATCTAGTTGGCAGTAAGTTCCCAATTGTATGCGACCATTTAATAAATATAACCAATCATTATTGTAATACTATGAGGTATTTGTAAAGGTCACTATTATAGTATTATGCTGTGTTCACATCGGACGAGATGCGATTTTAGGGGCCGGCGCGATTACATGTAAAGTCAATGCAAAGACACAGACGCAAATTCACTCCGGCGGTGCGATTGACGCGAATGCCGCTGCGCGATTGAGGCGACTGAAGGGGGCCGCTCGAGTTAAATGTTTTCAACTCGAGCGTCAAATTCCCGTGACGCGTTCGGAGAGGATGTGAGCCTGACGTTGGATCAGAAAACCAAAACATCAGCCGTAAGCTGTTAGCAGTGTTGTAGTCAAGTCACCAATTCACGAGTCCAAGTCCGAGTCACCAAGGGAGAGTCGTAGTCGAGTCCAAGTCCGAGTCACCCAAGGAGTGTCCGAGTCATCATTACCTGTGTTCGAGTTCGAGTCACCCAAGGAGTGTCCGAGTCGAGTCCGAGTCATAATTACCTGTGTCCGAGTCCAAGTCCGAGTCACCTAAGAAGAGTCCAAGTCAAGTCCGAGTCACAAGTCTTCATGTATTAATCTTCGTGGATATATGCGTTGAAATGTAGCTGCTCCTCTACATTGCTTTTATCCTGTCATGTTATACTAATCTGTCTATTGAACTGCTGTGAAGCCAGTTTGGCTACAATTCTTGTAATAGGCGCTATACAAATATAAAGCTTATTACTAATATTAATATTATTGTTATTATATATAAATAAACTATATTTAAAATGAGTTACCTTTTAGAGAAGTGATTATATTTGTATGCCAATATTTTCCTATGGTAAAGTTTTCGTTTTGCACTTTTATTTTGATAGTAATAAGATCGGCACTCTTATTTTGAAGGGACTTTTAGTTAAATCGGTTTACTGACAAAGATTGAGCCCCAGAAAACACATGGCTACTTAGCATGCAAAATGACGTAATTCTGCATGTTAAGTAGCCATGTGCTTTCGTGTTATTGGCTGAATCTTTATTTATTGATTAGATCACATTACTCTGATGATAATGTTCAAGACAGCCTATATGTCTAAACTCGATCCTTAGAGTAATGTGTTACGGAGCCTTCTCTTCAATATTGTTTCCACATAACGCGCTGCTCTTTTCCAATGTGGAAGCATAATGTGTGAAAGCATACAACACGATGTGGGGTGTTTCTCTAGACATCTTTAGACTGGAATAGCGGGGCCCAGTACGTGAACTCGCCTCGCAGGTGCACACGCCAGGATAGAGGACATCAGCCTCCAGAGAAAATTTGCTCGAGTCCAAGTCGGAGCGTCAATGTACAAGTCGTGTCCGAGTCATCGTGGGGGGGGGGGAATTCACGAGTCCGAGTCCAAGACTGTCTGTGTCATGGCGAATACAGTCGCTGGTGTATTTATGTCTGTAGTTCGTTGTGAGTTTGGACGGAGAATATACAATGTTAGCTTAGCCTGATCGATCCGATCTCCATTCAGTTTTTCAACTGCCGTCTTGTCTGCACACTTGTCAAAGCATTAATTCATGGTTTTTACTAAACGGTATCAGTATTTTGTTACTTCGGCATCAGTTTGAAACGTGTATTACAATGAAATCACGGTAAAATATGTTCATTTGTTGTAGTTGGTATCTACCACAGTAGTTACAGAGATAAGCACCGCCCCCTGGCCAGCGCGTCTTGTTTGAATGACGCGAATAAAAACAGCTGACAGCCGCGGTGAAACTCGAGAGATTAGAGCAATGCGAATATTCGCATCGTCCTGTGTGAACGCAGCATTATATCTGAAATTATAGTTGTGTATAACATAATTACCAAATATGTAGAATTTGTATTAACTACACAGAGTAAAAGTAAAATTCGGTCAGTGTTTCTAACTTTTTGATGCTGTTTAAATCGGGTGTTTAGTTTTCACACTGCATCCATTCTGCATCTGCATCTGTCCTCTCTAGATCTGGGAATTAGCAATGGCACAGCAAACAAGTAAGTGTGTGATATTCAAACGTTATAGTTTTGATACTGCCTATTAAACAGGACTAATAATCCTACTCGCTCTGTAGTGATCTTCACTGGAATCAGCCTGGTGAGAAGAAGCTGACTGGTGGAAACAACTGGCAACCCAAATCCGCTCCTTCTACCACCTGGAACCCTGCAGCCATGGTAGGCTTTCACCTATATTCCTCTACAGTGTGTGGTTCTACCCCTAACTAGAAAACACTTGAGACACACCAGGGAATACATGTGTTCTTTCAGCAGTGTTTAACACCGGTGGCTCTATATGCTGTAAGTCCTAACTATGGCATCTACAGTTTTCTCATCTGAACCCGGAGAATGTCTGCAGAACCAGGTCCGGACGTTGTCTCAGATAGTGCAATTACAAGACATACAAAATTAAATATAAAAACAACAATACAAATATAAATAGTGCAACCTCATGTGTTAAATAGTGTTATGGCCTGGATGAAACTGTCCCTCGCCGTTTTCATCACAATCTATAGAGTCTTACGGTTGAGGGTGGGTCAACTGCCATACCAGGCCGTGATGCAGGCGGTCAGGATGCTCTCTATGGAGCACCTGTAGAAGGTCAGGATGCTCTCTATGGAGCACCTGTAGAAGGTCAGGATGCTCTCTATGGAGCACCTGTAGAAGGTCAGGATGCTCTCTATGGTGCACCTGTAGAAGGTCAGGATCCTCTCTATGGAGCACCTGTAGAAGGTCAGGATCCTCTCTATGGTGCACCTGTAGGTCAGGATCCTCTCTGTGGTGCACCTGTAGAAGGTCAGGATGCTCTCTATGGTGCACCTGTAGAAGGTCAGGATCCTCTCTGTGGTGCACCTGTAGAAGGTCAGGATCCTCTCTATGGTGCACCTGTAGAAGGTCAGGATGCTCTCTATGGTGCACCTGTAGGTCAGGATCCTCTCTATGGAGCACCTGTAGAAGGTCAGGATGCTCTCTATGGAGCACCTGTAGAAGGTCAGGATCCTCTCTATGGAGCACCTGTAGAAGGTCAGGATGCTCTCTATGGTGCAACCTGTAGAAGGTCAGGATGCTCTCTATGGAGCACCTGTAGAAGGTCAGGATGCTCTCTATGGTGCAACCTGTAGAAGGTCAGGATGCTCTCTATGGTGCACCGTAGGTCAGGATCCTCTCTATGGAGCACCTGTAGAAGGTCAGGATGCTCTCTATGGAAGCACCTGTAGAAGGTCAGGATCCTCCTCTATGGTGCCACCTGTAGAAGGTCAGGATCCTCTTCTATGTGCACCTGTAGAAGTCAGGATCCTCTAGGTGCACCTGTAGAAGGTCAGGATCCTCTCTATGGTGCACTGTAGAGGTCAGGATCCTCTCTATGGTGCAACCTGTAGAAGGTCAGGATGCTCTCTATGGAGCGCCTGTAAGAAGGTCAGGATGCTCTCTATGGAGCACCTGTAGAAGGTCAGGATGCTCTCTATGGAGCACCGGTAGAGGTCAGGGCTCTCTATGGAGAGCACCTGTAGAAGGGTCAGGATGCTCTCTATGGTGCACCTGTAGAAGGTCAAGGATCCTCGCTATGGGGCACCTGGGTAGAAAGGTCAGGATCCTCTCTATGGTGCACCTGTAGGTCAGATCCTCTCTGTGGTGCACCTGTAGAAGGTCAGGATGCTCTCTATGGTGCACCTGTAGAAGGTCAGGATCCTCTCTGTGGGGCACCTGTAGAAGGTCAGGATCCTCTCTAATGGTGCACCTGTAGAAGGTCAGGATGCTCTCTATGGTGCACCTGTAGGTCAGGATCCTCTCTATGGAGCACCTGTAGAAGGTCAGGATGCTCTCTATGGAGCACCTGTAGAAGGTCAGGATCCTCTCTATGAGCACCTGTAGAAGGTCAGGATGCTCTCTATGGTGCACCTGTAGAAGGTCAGGATGCTCTCTATGGAGCACCTGTAGAAGGTCAGGATGCTCTCTATGGTGCACCTGTAGAAGGTCAGGATGCTCTCTATGGTGCACCTGTAGGTCAGGATCCTCTCTATGGAGCACCTGTAGAAGGTCAGGATGCTCTCTATGGAGCACCTGTAGAAGGTCAGGATCCTCTCTATTGGTTGCACCTGTAGAAGGTACAGGATCCTCTCTTATGGTGCACCTGTAGAAGGTCAGGATCCTCTATGGTGCACCTGTAGAAGGTCAGGATCCCTCTCTATGGTGCCCTGTAGAAGGTCAGGATCCTCTCTATGGTGCACCTGTAGAAGGTCAGGATGCTCTCTATGGAGCACCTGTAGAAGGTCAGGATGCTCTCTATGGAGCACCTGTAGAAGGTCAGGATGCTCTCTATGGAGTACCTATAGAAGGTCAGGATGCTCTCTATGGTGCACCTGTAGAAGGTCAGGATCCTCTCTATGGTGCACCTGCAGAAGGTCAGGATCCTCTATGGTGCACCTGTAGAAGGTCAGGATCCTCTATGGTGCACCTGTAGAAGGTTAGGATGCTCTCTATGGAGCACCTGTAGAAGGTCAGGATGCTCTCTATGGAGCACCTGTAGAAGGTCAGGATCCTCTCTATGGAGCACCTGCAGAAGGTCAGGATCCTCTCTATGGTGCACCTGCAGAAGGTCAGGATCCTCTCTATGGTGCACCTGTAGAAGGTCAGGATCCTCTCTATGGTGCACCTGCAGAAGGTCAGGATCCTCTCTATGGTGCACCTGTAGAATGTCAGGATACTCTCTATGGTGCACCTGTAGAAGGTCAGGATGCTCTCTATGGAGCACCTGTAGAAGGTCAGGATCCTCTCTATGGTGCACCTGTAGAAGGTCAGGATCCTCTCTATGGTGCACCTGTAGAAGGTCAGGATGCTCTCTATGGTGCACCTGTAGAAGGTCAGGATGCTCTCTATGGAGCACCTGTAGAAGGTCAGGGTCCTCTCTATGGTGCACCTGTAGAAGGTCAGGATGCTCTCTATGGATTACCTGTAGAAGGTCAGGATGCTCTCTATGGTGCACCTGTAGAAGGTCAGGATCCTCTCTATGGTGCACCTGTAGAAGGTCAGGATGCTCTCTATGAAGCACCTGTAGAAGGTCAGGATGCTCTCTATGGAGCACCTGTAGAAGGTCAGGGTCCTCTCTATGGAGCACCCTGTAGAAGGTCAGGATCCTCTCTATGGTGCACCTGTAGAAGGTCAGGATCCTCTCTATGGTGCACCTGTAGAAGGTCAGGATGCTCTCTATAGTGCACCTGTAGAAGGTCAGGATCCTCTCTATGAAGCACCTGTAGAAGGTCAGGATGCTCTCTATGGAGCACCTTTAGAAGGTCAGGATCCTCTCTATGGTGCACCTGTAGAAGGTCAGGATGCTCTCTATGGAGCACCTGTAGAAGGTCAGGATGCTCTCTATGGAGCACCTGTAGAAGGTCAGGATCCTCTCTATGGAGCACCTGCAGAAGGTCAGGATCCTCTCTATGGTGCACCTGTAGAAGGTCAGGATGCTCTCTATGGTGCACCTGTAGAAGGTCAGGATGCTCTCTATGGTGCACCTGTAGAAGGTCAGGATGCTCTCTATGGTGCACCTGTAGAAGGTCAGGATGCTCTCTATGGTGAACCTGTAGAAGGTCAGGATGCTCTCTATGGAGCACCTGTAGAAGGTCAGGATGCTCTCTATGGAGCACCTTTAGAAGGTCAGGGTCCTCTCTATGGAGCACCTGTAGAAGGTCAGGATGCTCTCTATGGAACACCTGTAGAAGGTCAGGATGCTCTCTATGGTGCACCTGTAGAAGGTCAGGATGCTCTTTATGGTGCACCTGTAGAAGGTCAGGATGCTCTCTATGGTGCACCTGTAGGAGGTCAGGATGCTCTCTATGGTGCACCTGTAGAAGGTCAGGATGCTCTCTATGGAGCACCTGTAGAAGGTCAGGGTCCTCTCTATGGTGCACCTGTAGAAGGTCAGGATCCTCTCTATGGTGCACCTGTAGAAGATCAGGATGCTCTCTATGGTGCACCTGTAGAAGGTCAGGATGCTCTCTATGGTGAACCTGTAGAAGGTCAGGATGCTCTCTATGGAGCACCTGTAGAAGGTCAGGATGCTCTCTATGGAGCACCTGTAGAAGGTCAGGGTCCTCTCTATGGAGCACCTGTAGAAGGTCAGGATCCTCTCTATGGAGCACCTGTAGAAGGTCAGGATGCTCTCTATGGTGCAGGTCTGTAGAAGGTCAGGATGCTCTTTATGGTGCACCTGTAGAAGGTCAGGATCCTCTCTATGGTGCACCTGTAGAAGGTCAGGATCCTCTCTATGGTGCACCTGTAGAAGGTCAGGATGCTCTATGGTGCACCTGTAGAAGGTCAGGATCCTCTCTATGGAGCACCTGTAGAACGTCAGGATGCTCTCTATGGAGCACCTGTAGAAGGTCAGGATCCTCTCTATGGTGCAGGTCTGTAGAAGGTCAGGATGCTCTCTATGGTGCACCTGTAGAAGGTCAGGATGCTCTTTATGGTGCACCTGTAGAAGGTCAGGATCCTCTCTATGGAGCACCTGTAGAAGGTCAGGATGCTCTTTATGGTGCACCTGTAGAAGGTCAGGATCCTCTCTATGGAGCACCTGTAGAAGGTCAGGATGCTCTTTATGGTGCACCTGTAGAAGGTCAGGATCCTCTCTATGGAGCACCTGTAGAAGGTCAGGATCCTCTCTATGGAGCACCTGTAGAACGTCAGGATGCTCTCTATGGTGCACCTGTAGAAGGTCAGGATCCTCTCTATGGTGCACCTGTAGAAGGTCAGGATGCTCTCTATGGAGCACCTGTAGAAGGTCAGGATGCTCTCTATGGAGCACCTGTAGAAGGTCAGGATGCTCTCTATGGTGCACCTGTAGAAGGTCAGGATGCTCTCTATGGTGCACCTGTAGAAGGTCAGGATCCTCTCTATGGTGCACCTGTAGAAGGTCAGGATCCTCTCTATGGTGCACCTGTAGAAGGTCAGGATCCTCTCTATGGTGCACCTGTAGAAGGTCAGGATGCTCTCTATGAAGCACCTGTAGAAGGTCAGGATGCTCTCTATGGAGCACCTGTAGAAGGTCAGGGTCCTCTCTATGGAGCACCTGTAGAAGGTCAGGATCCTCTCTATGGTGCACCTGTAGAAGGTCAGGATCCTCTCTATGGTGCACCTGTAGAAGGTCAGGATGCTCTCTATAGTGCACCTGTAGAAGGTCA